TGTTGCCTTGGTCTGCCAGTAAAGTTTTAACATAAAATGTGTTATGCATTGTGGATAGTTCTTTCATTTAATGCGGTAATACTTTCTGATATTTATGTCACTTTGCGCTCTAAATTCGGCTTTATTTTCATATCCACGTGTTTAAGTGAATAGTTTGTGCCAGTCCAGGGTTTCCATGTTACACCATCATATTTTTTATCGTCAATTTTCCCATTTCTATAATATTTATATTTTCCATTTAAATTGCTCTGATAGCAATTATAAAACCTCCATGCTGCGTGGAATCTCTTGGCGCAACTTCCACCAAATTCCTTCACAACTTGATCATTGTCAACATCTCGGGTTCATAATATAATGTAAAAAAAAAATAATAAAGTAGGGAAATGAAAGACATCATTGAAATTTATTTATGTACTCCCAATTTTCCTTTAGCATACTAATATATGAAATGTAAAGATAACAAACAATGTTCAATTTCATAAGTCCACTAAACAAAACAAATCGTGGACAGGCAAGACATAGGCAAATCAAATCGGGAACAGGCAAAGACAAGGACAAATCAAATCATGAACAGGCAAAGACATGGATAAAACCAATCGTGAACAGGCAAAGGCATCGATAAATCCAATCGTGAACAAGCAAAGGCATGGATAAAACCAATCGTGAAAAGGCAAAGACATGGATAAAACCAATCGTGGACAGGCAAAGACATGGACCGCTGGTATACCAGAGGTGGTATCAGGTGCTTAGGAGTAATCCTCCCTGGTCGACCGGTCACACTTTTCAACTGGTCGACATCTATTTACTCATCCTCCAAGACAACGGTTTAATTTGTAGTGAGATTTTTATAATGACGATGGATGTACGGTGTACCTCCGAATCCCTCTCTGTAATCCTCACAGTCCCTATAGAAATTGGTGGTGCTATCTTGTCGCTTCTCAATCAACGTCCAACCGCCCTTCTTCATGTCGCAATATACTTGAATGAGTCTGTTGGCACCATCAGGTAGGATTTTATGACACCATTTCTCATGTTTCCTTTGAGAAAGTAATCGTAACGATCTGTAAAAGAAGTTTAACAAAATACAGAAAGATAAATACAAGTTACGCTGATGAATAAGCATAATCTGATGAAACTTGGTATCATAATTTGATACGAACCTTTTTGGGTCACTTTGTCCATCTGCAACATACTTTACTGATGTGTTTTTTCCTTTTGCTATATCAGTTTTATGTTCTTTATTTTCTAGATTCGTACTCTCGTTACTGCTTTCTTTATAATTCGTCTTCTGTAATTCTTGTAATTTGGCTTTATCACCAGAATGGTCAGCATATTGTTTGTTCGTTTGTGAGCTGCTCATATCACTTCCGTTTCTACGATTTGTATCTTCTTTTACATGTTTTGTGACAGAATTTGGGTGTACCTCGCTTTTCATTTTATTGATATTTTCTTAGCTTTCTTTACCGAAATCAAATTCCCTTGTATTCATACTTTTTTGTTCTTTTGTCATATCTTTTTATTCGTTCCGTACATTTTTTCTTTGTCACAGTTTGCTTTAGATCAAGTTCTTCTATGGTCTTTTCCATAGCCTTTAAAACCTCCTCTTCTTTGGTTTCATTGTATTGATCAACATGGAGGATATTTTTGTCTTCCTTTTGAACACTCGTCCTATCATCAGGATCAGGCGGCTGTACATTTTGTGAGGTTTCAGAATTTTGTTTGTTTGATTCCTTTTGTTCATTTTTTGGAATGATTTCTAAACTTTCTGGTTCATTGTCAGATTCAGAATATTTCATCACGCTTTCTGAATCACAATTAGCAAAAATAAAAGGTGAGTATGGTGCACACTCGGATATAATAATAAAGCCCTTGAAACAATGTGCACTAGAGTCACACCATTCCTGAAGTTTAACAGACGATGTGATTGAGGTGTAACGTAAATACTCCTTTAAAGATATATATGCTGTGTTAAACAGTATTTTTGCACAGCTGAAACCGAACAAAAATTTATAAAGTATGATAAGCTATCAAAAATGAAGCATTCTTGCAAATTCGACGAAATATTATTCGGTATTAACAAAGTACTGGTCGGGAAAAGAACACGATATTCTCATGCATATTTATAAAGGACTGACGTTTATCCTGGATCTGCGCATGTGCGCGGAAAAAGCATCGCGAGAATCATACAGGAAAAAGAGTACCAAAGACCCAGATTTTTACATCATTTCCTGGTTGAACAAGATGAAGCAGAGTAATAAATGGGTAGGCTTTAGCTGATTGGCTGAATTCAGGTATGTAAATATTTTCATTTTAAAGTAAAAATATTAATGTTTGAAATAAATGATGAGATGTGGGAATATTACAGAAAATATAGAAATACCAGGGGAGATTGTAGGAGTGGGGACTGATATTTTTGGCAGGGTGTCATTTACTGCCGATCGCTGTAAGTTCTAAATAACTGCAAATTTTACCTATAAACACCGAGCGGCACGGTATATTTTTTTTCCCGTGTTTTTAATAAGTGCTTAGAACGAACTTTCAAATGACATCAGAAATTTGTTTGAAGGGGACAGCAGCAAATCACCGGGAGGGCATAAGGTTTGTATAGAGTTCTATGGGAAATTAATTGGTACTCTTTTCCCATCAGGTCGAGGAAAATATTTTTTGTGACGTCTGTTCAGTGAGGAACCAGTATGACTGACAAATCGACCAATCAGCTCAATGAGTTGCATTTAATGCATTTATGGGTTACTACATAAAATACTACATGTGTTTTTCGAAAAGGCTAGTTTTTAAATCGCTCTCAGAAAGACTTGATGGATCCTCCCAGCATTTACACGCTTAATGCATTATGTACATTATTATTGACTAATCATGCTCATATTTGCATACAATTGATTAACAATGATAAAAATTAAAGTTTTCCCACTCCATTGTACAGGTCCGTTTGTTTAGAGTTTCCCCGTGCTGTACTGCTAGTGAAAAGACAATTGCACGTGATTGTTCCTCGGTACAAAAAGCAACCAACTCTGAGGTGTGCTCATGTATTGACAATCCCTAACTCACGTGTTTGTAGTAAAAACGTAGTAGACCATCAGGCTTTTCGGTTCATTCTCGAGATTTGGACCTATCGTTTGCTGTGAGCATGCAAGACCATGTGATCATGAATATTTCAATAAGAGGCGGTTTATTATCCGACTCGGAGAGAAAATAATTTTTACCAAATAATATTTCACAACTTTTAAAAGTGATGGAGTGGAATTGTCTTATTTGCAGAAAGTATATAACATATAACTTGATGAGACACCACAGAGTATATTTTAATTTATTTTAAAATAAAACACTAATACGGCATATACATCTTTAACTGTTCATCGACTTCCTCGTCTTGGTCTTTTAGTTATCCAACAAAAGACGATTGTTCAATTATTTCACCGCTTTCTAGTTTTTTATCTGACACTAGATCGTCTAGTTGCTGTAGCAGTTGGTTTGAGAGATCATCGAGATATGATTCCTTTGAGTTTGTGCCTGGTGGATCTACAGTCCCCGACTTGTCTGGTTATTTTCTAATTTTCTGACGTCTTCTAAACCAATTTCTAACTTTTGCTTCATTTTTTCTGCTGTTTCATGTTGTTGTAGAGTTTGTTCAGAAAGAGATTGTACTTTTGCCATAAGTTGTGACATCAATACAGTTTGGTTCATGACCATCGCATACAACATTCTGTTTGGGTCATCAAGACCCTCGGACCGATTCTTTAATTTATCTATCAGGTTTTGAAACTTCTCTTACAGTTTTATAATTGTTTGCTGTTGTTTTTTTTAAAAGTTGGTCGTGATTTAATTTGTAGAGAGTAACTTTCAGAGATTTGTCTAGTTCTAAGTATTTTCGTTGAGTTTTCGTCATTTTCAATTTTCATATAATGGAAGCTTTGTTTCATTCTTAACAGCTCGTTCTCTAACCTAAGAATGCTATTCTCTAGTCTTGCTATGGTGGTACTGGAATGACTTTCTTTGTTCAATTTTTCCATTGACATACTAGTATGATTTTAAGCTTTATCCTATCTAATTCCAGAATACTTTTTTAGATTCTTCCGTTTTCAAAGACACCGTCTCCCAAAACCTTTGTTTCCCTGCGATTTATGTTTATTGTTGGTTTATCATTCGACAATCGAGCATTATTTAGTACTTTGCCGCATCAGTAACAGCATTATCACTTACTGCTGGAATCACTATAATCATCATCTACAAAAACAAGAAGAGATGCAAAGAAGTAGACCAATCATGGTAACAAACAAACACTCCCTCTTGAATTTACAAGCACTGACTCCTACAGGTATTTTTTTTTTTAGTTCTCTCTCTCTCTCTCTCTCTCTCTTGATTTAGATGAGTTTAGTTGTTTGATTTTAGGCTATCTAACTACATAGATGTTCGAAAACATGACTCTCAGACAAAACTTGTGTAAGTATCGACTTTCATATATAAATGCGTTAAAAATTATATTACATAAGATATAGATTAGAAATACATTGGGAAAATGACTCTAAAAAAATTGTTTTCCAAAAAGCTGTAATAATTATGAAAAATCCTGCAAAGACAGTGTAAATTTATGACACGTTATTGAACTGATATACTTTATAATGCCTTGAACATGCTGTGTAGACTTTTTAGGTAGATGGGAGTATGAATCAAAAAAGGAATTAGTCCATTTCGAAATGGTGGCAATTTTCCTATCCTTAGATTTTTTTTTTATTTTAATTTCTCCATCTTCAAACACAAGCTGGATCTAAATGCAAGAACTTACCGAGATCTATATATTAATTTTTCAATTTTTTTTACCTGTGTTGTCAAGGGTATATGTTACCCTCTCTAGACTTGCTGTAATACTAACTAGTGGATGCCCGGCTTATAAGCAACATTTTTGTTGGCGGAGTCGTAGAGGACTGTTGCGGCTGAGGCATGTTATATCCATGGACTTGGCCTTGTATGTGACATGTAGGCCACTGGAATGAGCAGATAACGCTTGGCTACCACTTTCAGCATGCTGAATTTGTGCAGAATCTTGATGACCGTCTTGGGGTGCCCAAGGTCTGCTACACGTGCAGGGGGTCTGGCTTAAGGCGGTTTGCCTCGGGTTCCCCGTGAGGAACCCACTCTCAACAATCCCATGCTAATTTTCTTTCAAATAATTAATAAAACCAACAAAAAGTTTCTTATTAGTAATTATTCATATTTAAGCATGCATTCCTTTTAATGAAGTATTGAAAATAAAACTCTCTTGTTTTACATTACCATTTTCTGAAAAAAATAATAAATAAATTTAAAAACAAATTTATCAAACATAAATTAATATGTTTGCTTTATGGGTATTTTAATACTTAAATTGCTTTAATTGATAATAATTAGCGATGAACACTTGATTTTCTTCTCAGGCATCAATGGTTTCGTCTGTTATGAACAAGATGGGAAGTTGAACAGACCTAACGCATGCGCATCAATGCTCAATACACAGACAATAGAATCGTAATGATAGAACCGCAATTCCGGAAAACGGGTTGCACTGGGAAGCTATTTTTATTTTTTAAATAGAAGGCGATAAGGTATTCTAGACACCCGTGTTTATCTTTTATGGATAAATCTGATTATGTACATGATATCCGCTGGATAAAATGGTAATAGAGGAACTGTACATTTATTGCATGATAGTGAGGGAAAATATGAAGATTTATTCAGCCCAGAAAAATCATATTCCAAGTGGGCTTCGCCCGAGAGGAATATATGATATTTTTTGGCTGAATAAATCTTCATTTTCCCCCGGGTCACGCAATGAATTGTTTATTATACCGAAACAATCAAAAACTTTTATTAGAAAAAACATAAAATTTAATTTTACCGCTCTCAAATTCATTTTTATTTTTAAGATTTCACTTTGACACATCACTAATCAGCAATTTTATGACGTAATTGTGATGTGTCTTGGCTATTGTGATTTTTTGGGGAAGTTTTTTTCAACGAACATTGAAAATATATTGCGGGAAAATGCACTGGGTATCCGAAGAGGTTGAATATGTGAATATGATGAAAATCATGTCGATGACCGTGAAATGTGAAGTTTTATGGCCCGATCACGAAATAATCTAGAACCAATCAGATGACGCGTTGTGTAGAATAATTATACATGTAATGAGGTATAATAAAAAAATATCGTGATTACAAGCATGAACATGCAAAAGAAAGTTTTGGTTTCACTCAGATGTGTTGATGTTGACCTAAGGGTATTAAAGATCTCTCGTCTGCCACGCATCTGGTACCGACAAAGGTGACAGCATTGATATCTGCTAGGCTGGACAACACGGATTTCAGTACTGCGTTATCAGCAGGCATGTTGTTCTGTAGGTAGAGTCTATAACATAACCCAGTCTTGGGTTTCGGGAAAAA